TAAAAAAAAAAAAAAAAAAAAAAAAAAATCGACGGAAACGAAGCAGCTGCGTCAAGCAGCTGCTGTAAAGGAGGAAGAGGGGCGGTGGACGCGTAGCTGGAGGCGTGAGAGGGATGAGTGGGTGATTAGGGGAGGTGGAAGCGTATTAGAGCCTGATTAGGCTTTAAAAAGGGAAGAAAAACGAAGAATGAAGATGGAGAGAAACCCAGTAAACAGAGGAAGAAATTTTTGGAGAATTCGAGTTTTTGGTTGCTTAAAATTGGACATCAATCGAGGGTAAAGGAAGAGGGGTTGTTGTTGAGGAATCCTTTGAGGAAAGGATACGGCCCCGAGCTGAAGCGGACGGTAATTCGAAGGTAACGAAAAAACCCACATCACCGAACCTTTAAATCTCGATATCTTGAGTTATACTGCATAATAAGTTATGAAATAAGGCTGGTTAGAACCGTAGTTAGAAGATCTATAAAGTTGTAGAAGAAATCAGAACGAAATTCGAGCTGTAGAGATGAAATTTTTGCTTCGGGACACAACGGGTATTAAAGGAAANCGAGCTGTAGAGATGAAATTTTGCTTCGGGACACAACGGGTATTAACAGAAAAGATTGGGAAAAATTTCAGGGAGGAGAGGTTGAAGACGAGCGCGTGAAGGACACGCGAGGCGCGTGGGAAGGCTGCGAGTGGAGGTGCGACTGTGCGCGGATCGGCGCGTGAGAAAGCAAACCTCCGACCTTGTATTGGCGCGTGAGGGCGCGTGAGAAGGTATTTCGGCTCCCGGTTTGTCCCGTTCGACTCCTTTTGACCTGTCCTACCAAAATTGATCTATATTTATGTTGAAATTGATAAAATATAGGTCTAATAGGAAGGAATTGTGTTGAAGTACTATTAAACGTACATTCGAGGAGGAAAAAGGGGTTCGAAACCAAGTAAGTAGCGTATTGACCTTTGAACTCGTTCTTAACTTGTTTTACAACATGTGAGTATGTTGTTTACCTGATTAAGAGCTTAATAAGTTATTGATGAACTTTGATGATATTTAGTGTTTATTGTATATTGTGACTGCTTGCCTGTGATGTAAGCAGGATATAAATGATTGTCTGAATGTTCTACGTGTTGATCATGATACATGTATGAAAGCATGCAGTAACTGTGAGTATGTTATGCATGTTAATGGAAAGGTTATGACTCTAGATATGCTTATTGGTGGTTGAGCTATGGATTATTTATTGAGTATGATAGTCTACTAATTCCCGCGGAGCTCCTGGCCAACGCGCTGTGTGCTAAGTCAGGGAGCATGAGTACTCCTGACCGTTGGTATATGAGATAAACAGGCCGCCAGAGCAATTAGTAGACGGGCCGTATTTGACCGAGAGCGAGTCTTACATACGAGTCCGAAAATTCTAGATAAGCATATTGAGAGAGAGTCAGTAACCTAGCCGGAGGTAGCTGAGATACCTCATTAACGAACAGATGACCCTAGTAAGAAAACTAGGAGTCAGTGGTAAATAAAACATGAAACCACCTGGAAAGATTAGTTATGAACCTGTGAATGATATGCTAGCTACTTACTGAGTAATCTAATTACTCATCAGAATTATCATAACTTTTCTTTCCAGATGTAGACGCTGCAGGCCAGCCGAGGACGAGACCAGCGGGCTAGAGACTACTGGGAATCCATGTCTGGGTCTGTTATGTAATTATGTTTTCGCTGTCAAGAATTTACTTCGGTTGTTTTAAGTTTAAATAGCACTGGTTTTAAATGTTTTACTGGATGTTTTTTTTAATATTTTAAAGATTATGATTGGGTGTTAGAGTATGTTGTCGTTGATGATGGTAACTCCTGTTAATCGCGTTGACGATGAGCGGGTGTTACATTACACCTTCCGACTCCGATGGTTTGTAGTAGGATCATTGGAGACAGGATCATCCTTTTAGAGTGAGGCACCTTCCACTGTGCGCCAAAGCTGAAGGCTTAGTGGTATTTCCTTCGGCGACTACATTATGCTGGTGCAGGGCGAGTCGGGCAACTGTGATATGACGTTTGTTTACTCTTTTGACATATAATAAGCTCCAAAGAATCCCTTACTCCTTACACCTTCCACTGTTTGCCGACTCTGATGTGATGGTTTTCGTCGTGGTTTACTTGACATCTGAGACAGGATCAGTGGAGTAGGGCACCTTCCACTGTGCGCCACATCCGAAGGCTTAGTGGTATTTCCTTCGGAGACTGCATCATGCAGGGCGAGTGGGGCAATTGCGGTATGACGTTTACTCTTTTGAGAGAGAATAATCTCCCACCTTATGTGCTGTCGAACCCTCTTTATAAGGCAGCTGGACCCATGTACAATCGGTATTTGGAGGATCCTCTTTTGGAGTGGCTACCCATCGCTCTTTTTGGTATGGTGGCCTATCGATGTGGTGGCGGATTATGCAATTTTCTGTGTAATATACATTGCCTATTACCCACAATTCCTATTACCGGGAGACAGGAAAGAAAGAAAAAGAAAGAGGTTTTCCTTGCAAGAGCGGATACTAATTCATAATAAAATATATAATATGGGGAAAGCCTCTTTCTTTTTCTTTCTTTCT